GTATGTTTCTGGCTTTGGTGCATCATCTTGCCTCCTTTTCCCCTACATTCCTCCAAAGTAAACTGCAAAAACCTTGGTTTTTGGATCTGAATCACACGCTTATGAAACAGCCATAAAAATATGTTCAGTGTAATAAAGATATTTTTTACTAGGTGGATTCTGTTTTCTACCTTGTGTAATCCTTGGTTTTGGGACCAAATGATGTGATCTCATCTTCATCTCATCTGTGCATGTCCCCAGTCAGTTTTTAGTGGTAACTTACGTAGGTTATCAAAATAAAATAGAAATGAAAATTTTTGTTAAAGAATTTGTTTTGGGAGTAATATAAATATAAAAATGAGAAAAAAAAATTCCAGGACACTAAGTGAATTGAATGAAAATATTGTTCCAAGGTGTGAGCAAATGTTAGAATAGAAAGATAAGAAGGGATTAAACAGTGGGAGCTGGCTTACAAGAGGACTGGAGAAAACACGGGGACATATTGTAGGAGAAAAATCTGGAAGTTATCTCTTTTCAGATGTTCAGTTTTACAAATTTTTAGGAATATTGACTTGGAATCTCAGTTTACTTGTGAAGGATGTAAGGATCTACTCAAAGCACCTCTGGAGAGTGTGTCTAGACACAAGAAAGGCTTTGGGTAAACTTCTGAATTGTGAGAAACTGTTGAGATGCAACTTCGAGGAAAATTAAGTTGAAGAAGTCAAGGAACAGAGACATGTTAGGACCCCAGGACTTTGGAGTAAGAATGTAGACAAAAGAGGAATGGAAATACAGAAGGCTGGAAAGTGAAAAACAAACACTCGTAACCTTCTGTTGTTCCTCGAGATGTAATTAACAAATACACATGTAGTTTACTGTAACTCTATTTCTTTTGAAAGTTTTTTTTTCTTCTTTTGTAAATTTCTGCTTTGCTCTCAGTAGGGTATCATGTTTTTCCTCTGCAGTATTTCAGATAATAAAGCCTACAAAATAAGTGTTGTAACTTTGAGAAGGTATTCTAATAGATATTTTTGCAGTGTGCCTATGGTTAGAATAATCGTGGATCATAATACTTGTGAAGAACACATATAAACATTTTCGTCTGCTTTGAATTTGAGAAACACATTCTTCTAATAGGAGATATAATGCTGCGTTTTGCATTGATTAGGTTAACGTATGTAGCTTGGAAAAGAAAATTGCTCAGGGCAGTAGTAGATTTGGAAGATAAAAATAATAAATCTGTATTTCCGGATATCCGGTGATTTTTAGGACCTGAATGAGCACAGGGTCTCATTTTCTCCTTCTTCTAAGTACCACTCTGGCATTTAAGACAGAGGAAAATATACAAAATTTTCTAATACTATTTTGTGCAGCAGCTGGAGAGGATCATGTGATAATCAATAGGTGAAATGATCATCCAGATGATGGGGCTTCTATTTAGTTGTTTACATCATGAGAATGTATTCAAAATGCTTACGTGTTGACTGTGAGGCAGAGAACAGCATACGAATAAAAGAATATTTTAAATTACTGAAGAAATTGTATGTGTAAATGCAGATGTATATATACGTATGACTTATAAATAATATTCATTTGAAGTTATTTCAATTTTTGCTGTTTCCCGTATCTCCTTGCAGAAAATCATAAATAAATATCAATTGCCCTAAATTCCATGTTCTATTTATTTCCATGATTTGTAGCCTACTTGCGCTATACCTTCACTGAATACTCTTTCGTCTAAGAACATTAGATACACCAAAACCCACACAGGAGACCTAAGACCTACTGAATGAATATGGCGTGCTAATCACCTTCATAGGTTTGTGCTGTAAAGTTGTAGTATGTGGGGGTGAACAAACCTGAAAGTGAAATATGAGTGTACAATAACTTGTTTAAATATGCCACAATATTTATAATAGAGTAAAATGCTATAGTAAGCTACAGTGTTAAAATTAAATGCATGAGTTTATATTATGCATGATAATATGATGCTGCCTGTTAAAAAAGTATACTAAATTTAGTAGAGATTCTCAAGAACTGAAGGTATACTAGGGTGATCCTCTTCTGCTGTACTATAGTATAATGCATGAACAGTGTATGAAAAATATTGTGATATGAAAAAACTTTTCTGCAGCATAGTAAGTTACAATAAATCTGTGCTCTGGGATCCCATGTGGAAAAATACTCACAAATTGCATCAGTGAGTTAACAGGAGTTCAGTGCCCCTGGAACATGAGGTCATTGTGCAGTGAGCACAGATGTCCATCACAACCTCCATCTTACAGGGTTTTTTTCTGCAAGAGTGAGATATTAAGTAACTATGCCCTTTAACAGCTTCTGTGGAGGAAATATAAGTTTAGTTTTGTGGGGGTTTTTTTTTCTTCTTTTTTTGTTTTGTAGGGCTTGCTTTTAGGTCTTAACTACCTGTGACTTTCCTGCTTTGAAGTCTGTGTTTCAGTGTATGCAAATTCTTCATTGGCACCCATTTATGCTGGAGGTGTATACATGCAGTAAGACATGAATTAGCCAAAAGTCCAAGGCAAGTAAACTAACAATGTTTATTTAGGAGACAAGTGTAGGAACTGAGTAACAATCTAATAGAAACTTAAAGGGTGAGAACAGCAGATGGTGATTTTGCTTTCTTCCCATACACTCTCAAAAGATCAAAACCCATGCCATTATACAATTAAGATTTCTGGGGGGAAAACAAAAATCAAAAATTAAAATTGTGCTTATAAAGAGGAACACGGAATATGGACATCCTTAAAGAGGCTGTTTAAACTCGCTTTTGCTGCTAGTTTAAATTGCAGCTGAAACAGGTAGAGTGGAAGGTGTGGGGACTTCAAACATTTCTCCTCCAGAAGTGTGTGAGCAGTACTGGGAGGAGAACTTTCATATGTTTATAACTGACTAGCAGCAGAAATATAATGTTTTTGTTTCTATTAACAAGGAATCACATAAAGTATAGTCCCAGGATAGCATGCTAGGGAATTAGGCACTCTGAACTGGATAGGCTTTCTAGTGCAAATTAGACTGAAAATGAAGCAGCTAATGAATATATGCACATATGTACTTTGAGAAGTTGTGTTCCTTTATTCAGAGATTTTTCTAAGGTAAGGCAATGAATGCTTTTTTCCCTAACAGGTATATCTAGCAAAGACAAAGGGGAAATATTCTGTATAACTCTACAGATGTTGTTGGGCCTTGGCAAATTTAGATTGGCAGATTTGTAAATATCATCAAGTCTCCCTAAGGAAAATTTTCACATCTGTCGATCTGCTTGTTGCTTGCCCTGTAGAAGTTGATAGGTACAGAAAGGTAACAGCAGCACAAGCTTTGACAGTAGTCATGAAAGATGTGATTAATAGAATAAATTCATGACCTCAGATGTTAATTCAGGACATAGTTCTCATTAATTTCAAAGTAATTTATTTAACATGAAATATCCTGAAAACATTGGTCCTAGGCTTTACAAACTAATGAACAAAACATAATAGAATCACTCACTTTTTTCTTTGTATCTGTTTAAAATGAGGACAGTATTGCAACATCCTGTGTTTCTGACATAAGCAGTAAATTATTGGCTTACATATTATGCAGAATTTTGATGTTAGTAAATGTGTGGACCCACACACAGAATGATCAGCGATACAGAATAAGCACTGTCTATTCTGCCTTCTGAGCAAGTCAGGGATTCTATGGCAAACAGATGCGATCGTGTAGTTAATAGGTTTGTTAGAATTGTTATGTGCAGTACGGATGAAAAGCTTCTATCAGGAAAGCTTAACACTTCTTTCCTAACTTTTGAAGGTTTAACTTTGGAACTATTGTTAATATGACTATTTAAAAATGTGAGTTAGTGAAAACTGCGTATACTTTGGTACTCACATAAGCTGCTCTGGTTTTCTTCCCTTGGTGGCATTCCATCCCTATGGCATTTATTGGTTATGGCCTTTCGCTTTTCTTAATCGTGTGTCACACATATGTATGAAGATGGGATCCCAGAAATATGGTTTAGTTAGAGCACAGCTATAGGACAGTAGACTGTCTAGCTCGTATATGGGAGCAACTTGTGTAGAACATATTTTCTTGCAAGCATGTAAAAAATACCCTGTTTGGCGCTTCATACATCTCCATGACCTTTTGTGATGCTCGCTCACTTTTCCCTCACAAAAGGGCTAGGTGCCCGAAAAAGGTGTGTTCTGGCTGTATCAAAACCTAGAGGCACAAGCTTCTTTGCCTTCTAAGCAGTATTATCTCCCAAAGTTTATTTCTGTTTAACAGGGAATTAGCCAGATGTTGCAAACACTGTGGCAAGGTCCCAATTAATCTGGTTTTTACTTTTCCACTTTCATGTTTTCTGGTCTGAAATGAAAGGATCTGCTTGCCATGTTCTGACGAGCTAATGGGCTTCCATAAAACTCCTCTATTGTCAATGTCCATGAAGAGGTTGGTTCTCATGAGGAGGGAATAAGACAAAATAATTTTGAAGACACTAGGTTTTCTTCTTTGTGTATGTAAACAAAGGCAACTCTTTCTCAGGCTGTGAAAATAATTATCTGAGCTAATCTCAGAAGAGCTTGTCAACTGTATTTTGTTTGAAGTGACACGTATGTGCTCCTACAGACACTTAAAATACATAATTATTAGTTTTGCTAGCTCTTTTCTTTTTAAAGATTGGGTAAGTATGTTTCCATACTTGCTAGTCTGATGACAGAGGGGAATCAAAGGGAAAAGTGTTTTTCTCTGAAATGAAAGGATTAAACTTTTGGCTTGTCTGACAACATGGCACGCAGATTTATTTCCAAGTGCAAGAGGAATTCATTAGTTGGCCCTCAAAATTGTTTTCTTAGCTCTTCGGCAAGTGGGAGTGACTGAAAATTTGGTAAATGGCACTGCATGGTTTGGAACACCATTTTGATAGTGTAACAGTTGTGGAAGGAAGCACCTGTCTTCCTGTCTCAGTGAAAGAAAATGTGCTTTTCCATCCTAGAGAAAAATCCTCTGCAGCAGTTAGCAAGATGGCGTGAGAAGGGGCAGAACACAAGGAAAAGGGTGATGCTCTCAGCGGGGTGTAGAACCTGTCCTGCTGGCTTGTGTGAGGCTGACTTGGCAACAGTATAGTCAAAGCGTAGTGATTGCCATCTTAAAAGTCACCAACTTTTTCTTGTCTTGGCAGTCACGTGCTTCTGATACTTATTCCTTTATAAAATAAGTATTCTGTGTGTTAATTAGTGTAGTTTATAACATGGCTGTAATTAAACTTCTGAGAAGCCTTATGTTGAAGTTATATATAAGATGATTAATATGGTAAATGAAGAACTCAAACTTTGAAAAATTTCTGACAAATTAAAAAGAGTATGGATTTCTGGTTCACTACAGGTAAGTGTTCTAAGCTTTCTTAAGAAATAATTCTGATATAATATTTACTGTATATTAAGCTACGTTTTGGGTAAGAAAGCAATACCTATTTTTTTTTTTTAAAAAAACAACAAAAACAACAAAACAACTAAACCAACACAAAAGCTCTTACTATAACTCTTTTGGTTGCATGTATTTATAGTAATTTTTTTTTGGTGGGGTTGTGTTTTTTTTCTTTTTTTAGCAGCTTGTCCTGGGACATACACATCTGAAATGTCAGTGTTTCTCAATGATAATCCATCACATTACAAAATAACGTTGTCTGGCATTGTGAAGTCACAAAAAATAAGTTTTAATCCTCCCTTTTTAATGCTGATGCCTGTTCCTCTGGATGTGAAAACTGAAACAGCTATCAGTATCATTCCACAAGATTATTTAAGGTAAAAATCTCAAAATAAATTCGTTACAGAAATCCTGAATAATTCTTTATTGTTTTCTTTTTGAAAAGTGAATAAATTTTTGTTTGTGAACGTTAGTATTAATTTTCTGCTCAGCAGAGGAAAGAATCTGAGTATTTAAGAGAAAATTTATGTAATTAATATTGCTGTATGTTCAACAAGTCCACTTTCTGTCCAAAACATTCTGGCTTCCCGAAGTGACCATCTTCTGATATACTTACTCTATCTGATATTTTTAAAATTACTTTAAATAACACAAAAATTAAGAAGAGAGTCCTATCAGGACTTTTTTGTTCACTTTAGCCGAATACTAAGATCATAGTCTTATTTATTTTTCTGCATTGTGAAAAAAAAAAATCTTTCTCTTTTATTTTCTCTACTCCACAGGTTATAAAGCACTGTTTTGAAATCTAGCTGTTTGGACAACTGATGGGGTTGTGGTGGTGTGGGTTTTTTTGTGGTGGTGTTGTTTCTTTATTTTTTTTTTCTTCCTAAGCAAGATTTTAGTACTAAAGAGGACAGCACAAATGTTTTAATCCTGTCACTTGTTATAATAAATAATCCATATATTTCTCATTTTTCTGTGAATCACCCACTTTATCCTGTTACTTGAATTTATAAGAGAGTCATTTTGTAATCTTCATAGCATAACCCAGCACCACACCTATTCCAATTGGATAGAAATCTTAATATTTTAATCTTTCCAAGCACTCTTGTGTACATGTGTGTCGAAATATGCTTTTCTGGTCTCGAAGATACAAGATTTCTGTTTGTAGTTAGTAAGCAGCAGCAATAGTTTGTTATGCTTATGTAGGTGTCATTCCAATACCAGAAGAATTGGAGCAAAACTCTTTAAGTTGCTATAAATTAATGACATTACCTTCAAATTTTTATTGTCTCATTTGAGTTGTTGTAATTTATCAAATGATTTGTCAGTGACTCAGTGGTTGGAACTGAAAGAATTCCATATGGGCCCGAACTGACTAGCATTCTTATTTCAGAAATGGAACCTAAAATTACCTAACTGGGGAAAACATCTGAAGTATCTTCTCAAATTTCCCCTTTATATTTTAAAACTTGCTTTACATTGTTGTGCAATAATGCAGTTTAATCAATATTGATGAAAGCTTTAAGTTTAGGAAAGCTAAAGTAAGGAGGTAATATTTGTGCCCTTGGTAGCACAGTTAGTAGAAATTCCTCTTCATTTTGATCTAGAACTATTGTGGGTCAGTGTAAAACATTCAGATAGATATGTAGAAAACAAAATAGCATCTACATGCTAAAGGAATTTTAATTCTTTCACTGGTTTCACTTATGCTTCAAAACTGAAGTTATTCTTCTGTATTTAACTGTGAAAAGCAGTTTCATAATGTGTGAATCTTGTGGATCAACTTTATTACTGTCATCCTGTGAGTACAAACACCATTACTATTTATTTTTAACACAGGCGATCACGAATTCACGTTGAACTTCCAGAGCTTGAACTTGAAGATGGTGGCAGGATTTACCCTTTTTCTGTACAATTCCCAGAAGGACAAGATATTGTTCTTTCATCAGATGGCACAAATAAGGAAATAATTTGTCATATCAGCTTCAGATCATCTAGGCCTGTGTCATTTTTAGGGAGTATGTTCTTCATTGATAAAGAAGAAAACAGGTAACGTGTGCAATTCATTTTCATCTGGGGGTAGGGTCCAAATGGACAAAGTTGGATATCAAGACACAGAACTTATAATGGTTGGGTAAAGGCATACAAGAATCACTCTGAAAAAAAATGAAAATGAAACATAGATATGTATTTCTTTTTTAGCTAAATTACAATTCAAAAACATGAAATTCAGCTTTAGTCCTCTAAGGTAAGATTCATCTAAGTGGCCATCTTAAGGTCTTGTACTGCATTCATATCTACTGGCAATTCTTATGTCGTCTTCAGTCTTCTCAGATTGCTTTGGAGAGACATGGTCTTGATTCAGCAAATCCCAGTGTTTTCTGTTACAAAATATTTAGCTTTTTGAAAAATAACCTATTAAAATTTTACAGTCTCTTCCATGATGGATTTTAATGTGGTTTGATTTTGGGCTAAGCCAAACTCTGTGAAATTTTATTCCAATGAGCCTTTCTCCTGTGTTTTATTTTTTTAAAACAATGAAATGTTTGGGACTGGTTTAGAGTCTTTTTTCTGGTTTTATCCTGATAGCATCTGGAAGAGCTTATTGCCTTATTGCCTGTGTGCAAATCTTTACAAAGTTGTAGTGATGTGGTCTTGCAAAGGATTACTTGATTTTAAGTTCTCTCAGAAGTTTCAGATGTTCCTCTGGTACCCAAGAATTCAAGAAGAGACATCTCTGAGTAACATAGCAGATACTGTCTCTAAACAAGAGATTCTGGTTATTTTAAAGACTTTCTGTACAATGTGGAACTGTGCAATAGTACTTGTTTTTATAGAATGTTTGTGGTTTATTCGTGTGATTTATTATTTATACATGTGGTTTATTCATTCCTTGAGCCTCTGAGCTTCGGGGTAAAGGTAGGGAGACTTCTTAAGGGAGAATTACATGGGAAGTCAGAAATTCATTTTGCTAGAAACCAGCAAAGAACGTGTCCCAGTCTTATTTTAAAGGGACATCACTCCCTCTCTCCCTTTCTGTGTATGTCATTCTTCAGTCTTTCTGCTCTCCATGTTGTCTGTCGGCCTTCCTCCCCCTTCCCCCCCATTACCTGTTTTCTCTGTGTGTGTATAAGTCCCCCCTTTTTCTGGTGTTTTTAATTATTTTTTAAATGTTAGTTTTAACTCATCTTCTACTGTTATATCTTAATTCTTGATTTCTGTTCTCTGGTTTTATGTTCTCTGTTTCTAAGCTTTTTAGAGCAGGACAGTTAGTTATGGGTTTGTATATTCTGAGCTGAGGCATTTCCTGATCTCTAGTTCTTCCTGCAATACCTGTAATAATGTTACTCAGCTTATTAGGTATCTGGAGGCTACTGTCCATACCAAAGATCGATATGGAATCCTTCAGGTCAAAGAGTGTGGGTTGGGTTGGGTTGGTTTTCTTTTGGGGATTTTTTTGTGTGTGGTTTTTTGTTTGTTTCACTTGTATTTTTTTTGTGTTGGATTTGGATTTTTTTGGGGATTTTTTGGCTACTGAGAAGGAAAGCTGCATATGTATGTCCTGAGACAGGAACTGGAAACTATTAAGTGATTAATATATTAATACTCCTATCAATTTTTTTTTAGATTTCCAAGAGGCAGGGCAGTGTCTTTGAGCAGGTCTATAAGGAAATAGTTAGTTCATGAATAAAAAGAGGCCAACTCCTGATCTCAGTGAAGGTGTTCTTTGAGGCATAAGATAAGAAGAAATCATTTTAATGGCCAGGTGACAACGAATTTGCACGGACGGATGTTGCTCATCTATATCAGTGCAATTTATTGTTTACAGATTCTAAGATATATATATACACATGCATATATAGATACGTGTTGGGTTTTTTTTTTCATATGTGTGATGCTAGGAATTCATAAAAGTACACTAGGGGTACACTTCAGCTTCAGACCATGCTTCCTATATGAAAAGTATTTGGGATACTGTCTTTTCTCATATATTTCTGATGTGAGACACAGGACTGGATAACCAAGTATGGAAAACTTTGTGCCTTCTCCCTCCCTCCGTACTGGGCTCTCCAGTGTTTTTGGCACTGCCTTTGCAGGACTTTCTGGACAGCAGAGTCATCAGAAGTGGGCACTGTCAGGGAGAAGGGATAAGGGGCAGATGTGCTTCACTTTGTTATGTATTTATATATTTCCTCAAAAGCAGTCCTGTGCGCTAAGTCAGAAAGCTTTTGAAGTTTTCAAAAGTACTGAAATTGTTTGGGAAAATAAGCTCTACATCTGAAAATACTTAGGAATGTACATGGTTTGCTTCCTGTTAGACCTAAATTCCTTCAGCACAGAACACCTAGAGTTTGACAGCAATTAGTTTGCAGTGTTCATACCAAAATTAATCTCTTTAAAACACTGTTTAGTGGTGAAGACATATGCAAATATGAAATTCATAATTCATACACCTTAGTTTGATTTTAAAGTAGTAGGCTGTTTTTTAAATAACTTCAATGGTGAAAAGCAATGCGAAAGGTCTCCCCTGTCCCTAGTAAATGGAGATTAAACCTGTTATTAAATGTTCTGTGCAAAAATAACTGTTTTCAGCATTTGCCACTTTTGTACAGCTCTCCCCTTGGTTGGATAAATGGGTCTATGTATGAGGAGGAAAGATAGATACTGGTGTAATTAAAAGTCATTCCAGCAGTTACTATTTTCAGTAAAGCAACTATTTTAAGGGTTAAATATCTTCGCCCTAAAGCTTAAAATGGGCTTTTTCCTCAGCATAAAATTAAATTTTATATTATTTTCTTGCAAGGGTTATGGACCTTTCGGTTATCACTGCTTGCATTGGATTAGTATTTTACATTTTTCTATATAGATTGTCAGCCAAGAATCTATTTCTTATTAATTTTATTACATTCTAAGATTGAATTATTGTGTGGGATATTATTCATAAATGTGTGTGAAAGGTTGCAGTAATTATGCAATAGGATAATTTAAGCTTATGGTGAGGTCTGAAATATAGCTGCTGAGCAGGCACAGTATTTAGTTTTAATAACTGTTTTTATATGATGCACTAGCAGCTTCTCAAACCTTGTTATAGAGAAATAATCCTTTCTACTGTGTAATAAACTTTTTTCTATATTTGCCATTAAAATGAAATAAAGGATACCATTCTCAATTTAAAGGCAAACTTAATGTGTTTTTGAAAAAAAGATACCAAATAAAAGTCATCAAAGTAACCTTAAAAGACATCGCTGCATGCAAAGGTGAAAAAATTCCTGCTCAGGAATGTCAAATCATCTTAAAATTGCTGCTGTATTTTAAAACATAGTAGATAGTTCTGTCCTTTAACAAATATCTCAGAACATTGTTTTGCCAATGCATATGTGATTTCCTGCCAGGGTGTTGCATGTGTGCTTGGGCTGTAGAAGCAGGTAATACAAAACCTGAACGCAATTGGGTGAAATAGTTGAAATAGCACACCTTCCAGAACAAAGGGATCCTGTGTGCGCTACTAGTCAGCGTAGTAATATCATTCATATTGGCTTTTGGAAGAAATTGTTTTTATCACCACCAGAAAGAATTCTTTCCTTTGTTTGGAAAAGTCTAAGTAATTGCCTGATTCTTTAATCTGGAGCATATCATAGAATCATAGAGTTGTTTAGGTTGGAAAAGACTTTTAAGATTATTGACTCCAACAGTAAACCTGGCACTGCGAAGTCCAACACTAAACCATGTCCCTAAGCACCATGTTGTTATTCTAATAAAGTCTATGGTAATTTATCCAGACTTGGGTTTCGTTACTACTATTAATATTAGTATGTGCTTTGGTAATTCACCCTACAGTAATCTTTAGCTGCAATTTCTTGTTCTCTGCATATCTACCCTCATTCTTCACAGTTCCCCCCACCATGGGAGACCTGTGGAATGTGTTCAAACTCGATTCAATTAATTATCTAAGCATTTGAGCAGTTTGTTTCAAACTGTGTAACTAATGAATTGAAGTGCTTTGTTAATTTGAGTCTTTCAGGAAGACAAGGTTTTTGGGCCTTCTAGATCTTTAATAATAAAGCAATGAAACCTATAACCTTTTATAACACCTATAAAAGCTAACTGGTCTTCAGTAGGTTCCTGGTTTGTTTAATAGGTCGTGAAATCTCACAGTATCAGTTGCTGAAGTTGTCAGGTATTCTCACAGAATCACAGAATGTTCGGGGTTGGAAGGGACCTCTGTGGGTCAGCTAGTACAACAACCCTGCCGAAGCAGGGTCACCTACAGCAGGCTGCACAGGACCTTCCGTTTGTCAGAGTAATAATATGTATTTTTAAATGGTTTGAACTAAAATTTTGAACTTCAACTCATATTCTGTATTCTGGGATGGAATTAAAATGAGTTAAAAAGTTATTTTCATATGTTGGTAAAATATGTCTTGTATTTAACTACTTAGAAGAGGAGCCTTAACTTCAAAGTAAAACTAGTTCTAGGCCTATCTCAAAGCATGAGTATACAGTTTTGGTCATTTTTTACTTAGACCCCGCAATATTCTGCTTTTCTAAATTGAGATTTAAAACTTCAGTAGGATTGATTCGCATAGTTCTTACTAAGTCCATCTAAATAATGATGGGTTTTTTCTTTAAATCAGAGTGAATGCTGGGGAGAGGATAGATATTGTTCATTTTGGCTGCCCTACAGAAAACATTTGAAAGATGATAGACAATCATGTTTTATAACAAAACTATGCTATATGTAGCTGTAAAATAAAACTAAAGAGATATATGGTTGTCATTTATGCAAATAATTTACTGTGTGCACAGACTCCATAAAATGGATCATAAGAAAGTGCGTTAATATTTCTTTAATGACTACCTTAAATGAGAATTTGCAGTTCATTTCTACTTCTAATGTTATTTTTAATCTCTGTTCTCCGTTTTTGCTCCTCTGACTCCAAAACAGAATAAATGACACTTCCTTGCATAAGGCTGATAAGAATAGAGAAGTAAAAGATAAGATAGAATCTAAGAATGTCTTGAGCAAGTATTTAGTAAATAGGAAGAAATATTTAGCTATGACACTTATCTCCTTCAACTTGAAAAACTAAACTAAAAAAAACCTATGCAAACATGGCATGTTTATATATTTGTCCTCTAATTATTATTATGTCTTTTAATTTTCTGATTAGATAAATATTATAGCAGGAGAGAAGGTTTTCTGCTGTCCTGATTGAAATGATGTTTAACTTAATCTTTCTAAAAAATAAGTATTAAATAACAGGTACATGTTATGTCATGCAGTCAAAGAAAATGATGCTCTGGGCAGCAAATTATCCCTCACCCCCCCAACACTATGCGGTGTGTAGATAAATTGCTGTGATCATTGATGACACAGATGTGCTGAGGTCCTTACCTCTGATGTTCTGCAGTTCTCTATTTTCTTTCCCTTTCCCACTGGGAAGCTGGGGAAACTCCTGCAGTTTCTGATGTTATTCACCTTGTTCATGCCTGGAGCTTCAGGAAGAGACGATGTCAGGGATCTTAGCCTCTAATAAAACATGATGCCAGAGTCACAATCACTAAAAGGTACCCAGTTATGAATCAGTTCCAGTTGTTTTGATAGTCCATGAGATCTCAGTGTCTTATGGAGGGAAACAGAACGTTCCCTTTTGATCTTGGGAAATGTGCCTAGAGCATGCAGCTCTTTAATAGGCACTGGCAAATGTCAAATGCATGTATTCTGCTGGCATGCCTTAGAGAACAAGAGCTGTCAATTTCTTTCAATATCATTTAAATTCTGAGAGAACAGGGACATAGGAAACATCGGAGTTCTTGATATTTGCATGGTTCTTTGCTACATTCATCTGACCTAATAATATATTGGCATTTTAATTTACATTGATCACTCCTGTTCTTTTCTGTGCTTGAGTCTTGCTACCATTTTGATGGTCCCTGCCAGCTGAAACGTCTGTTACTCAGGAATTAAAAACTGACATCATTGCTGCTACTAGTAAAAACATGGCTGCTTTCCCAGCTAGAAGTCTTATGTGTTGTGTGAATCCATATGTCTGTCACTATTTGTTATTGTATTTTTTTGACTGCTGTGGAAGCCTGAGCTTCTACTAGAAAGCATAAGGTCTCCTCAGTGTTGGGGAACTGCTCATTTGTGAACAGAAATGGCAGAGTTTGCATGGGTCATCTTTTCCTCTTCCTTCTACTTCTGTCATCTCTGGATCTGTTCAAGGATTTTTGGGGGAAGAGAGGAGGGCAAGTCTCTGTTTTTAAATTACAACTTCTTCCCTGTGTCTAGATTATTCCTTATGCTTAAACATCTGTAAAATGCCTCACTCTCATGTCAGGCTTTGTTTTCACACTAATCAATTCTGCAAGCAGTTTGTTTTTGTTTCCTAAACTAGCAGTGCGAACTTCCCTTAAATATTTTTTTTAGTT